AACCCCTGACAATGAATACAATGAATTCATTTGGAAATGATAATATCATTTATATTGATTCCCCATCTCCTTCTATCAATCAAATTTGTACCAGTAGACACAAATCTGGAAAGCCCATTAAAAGAAACTGCAGTTACAACAACAACAGGATTTGAATCGATAAGTTTGATGTGTTGCCAAGAATATAAACTTCTTTGTTGGACACAGTGTCCATTATTTTTAAGATCGTTAGATCCACCAAATACATTTAAAAGTCATATTCCTGAATCTGGTTGTCCCACAATAAATAAGATTATTGATAATTTATATTATGTCGCACTGGATATATCTCAATCGGAAAACAGTTCATGGAAATCTCAAAAAGGGGCTCAATTAATTTTAAATAGTTTAAAAGAAACATATAATCATTTAGAAACTTTGCTGAAAACTGGTTACTATAGCGAAATAGCATCACGTATACAAACAAATGCAAAAATATTTTTGAATGGTAATGATCCTTCTAATCCTAAAGATTGGGTATCAGGAAAAAATCTTGTATTCGGAGCACAAGAAGATGTTAGGGCTGGATTACATAAAGTTCATGATAATTTAAAGGAATTTAAGCAACTTTTGAAATTAGCCGGAGCTAGAGAAATTAAAAATATTAATTTTGATATAAAAACTCAAACCTATTCACAAAAAGATAAGCTACTTAGTGGTCTTTTAGATAGCTTTGAACAGAACGATACAATGCATCACGATGTTGTATTTCAAATTCATCATAAAGATGAGATTGAGGAAATCAAAGCTAATCGATATGTTCTTTCAGGTACTGTATTTGTTTGAACGTTTTCATATATATAATTATATATAATAATTCATTTATTCATTGCAATTTTTTATTTATTAAAATTATAATTTTACAGCTGCTTCAGAACACTTTAAAGCATTATTCTGTGGAAAAATGAAGGAAGCTATAGAATATCAAAAAGTAATTGTTGATATCGACGATATTGAGCCTTCAACATTTCGTGTTCTAATTCGTTGGTTACATGGTCAAGAACTTGAAGAAGCAATCTCAACAGTTCTTAATGATTCTAAATGTTCCGATGTATTCTTAGTAGATTTACTTAAAGCTTCAGATAAATATCAAGTTGATCCACTCAAAGATCAAGTTGAAATATTGATAATAAAAGGTTCTTATGTTAATATTGATAATGCAATTGAGATCAATGAATGGGCGAAATTACTTCGAGCAACACAACTTAATAATTATTGTCAGCAATATATAAAAGAGAATAAAACACTTGTAATAGAAAAAAAGATAGGTGAAATAGCCAACGCGAAGAATGAAGAAGATAAAAGAGACGAAGAAGATATGTTAAATGTTGTTTTGGATTCTTAGTTTCATTTATCAAAGGTTTATTTTTCGAAATATCACGAAACTTTTATTTATTTATTTACTAATTTAAGTTTAAATTATTATTTGTAATTTTTTTTGTAATTTTTTTTTTGTAATTTTTGCACGTTATTCTATTAATGCTGTAATGCATTTATGCAATTAAGATTATTAATAAATGTAACGATGATATTTCATGAACGAAAAACACGTTTTCGGATTCATAAAGCACTTTGCCTTTTTTGACTGACACGATTGCGTTTTATATTATTTATATATGCTTTTTATACATCTGTAACTTCCAATAAACTAATTCTAGGAATTGAATTGCTCAAGCTTTAAAGGAGAAATTTCAGTTGTAACAAATATAATTTTAAGAATATTATATGTATTCTTTGTTAAAGTTAGTGCGAAATAACGTGCAGGGTTGTAATTTCGAATTCGGCCTAAATCAAGCTTAATTTGGACCGAAATTAAATAAAGCTCCTGCGCGTTATTTCGCGAAAGGTATTTTGTTAATTTGAAATTTATCGTATTATTTTTTATTTATCATTGATTTATTTAAGACTTTTATTTATTGACTTATTATTTGTTTCTTCATATAGTTGTTAGACGAAACTTTTTTCGCATGATGATGATGATGATGACGAAACCTCTGACGAAAGACGAAACCTTTTTCGCATGATGATGATGATGATGACGAAACCTCTGACGAAAGACGAACCTTAACCTCTGACGAAAGACGAAACCTTTTTCGCATGATGACAAAACCTCTGACGAAAGACGAACCTTAACCTCTGACGAAAGACGAAACCTTTTTCGCATGATGATGAAACCTCTGACGAAAGACGAACCTTAACCTCTGACGAAAGACGAAACCTTTTTCGCATGATGATGAAACCTCTGACGAAAGACGAACCTTAACCTCTGACGAAAGACGAACCTTAACCTCTGACGAAAGACGAAACCTTTTTCGCATGATGACAAAACCTCTGACGAAAGATGAACCTTAAACTTAAAATGACGAAACTTACGCTCAAAAAGACGATACTCTAGTGCTTCAACTAAAAAAAAAAAAAGAAGCATAAAAAGAAAATTGTTATTATAGATCGGTTGAAATAATCTTGCCAAAAAGCCATAGTACTCATGGAATAACACAAATAATGAATTAAAACATGATAAATTTGTAAGATCGCAAAGTAAGCACCAAGTGATTTCTCACTAAAACTGGTATGTATAATATAATATTGAATACTCATTTCTAACTCCTTTAAACAATTCAAGTGCCTATTATACAATAGAATTTTTTGTAATTTTGATAAAATTTATTTTTTATACACATGATTTTCAACAACATTTATTTTGTATATTCGTCTTTTATTAATTTTGTCACCCTTTACAGTTTCGTCATTTAAAATTTTAATTCGCGTTTCGTCAGCGTGAAACCTTGAGGTTTCGTCTAACAACTATAATTCTTTACTATACATTATTTATTCATCATATAATTCCCTTCGTTATTTCATTCACTCCAAAACACCTGTTATCATCTTATCCGACCGCCCCCACGATTATTGGCGACGTTGGCTTTTTTTTCACCTATGGTATGGGAGTTTATGTCTATGAGATGCTATAACGTTTACCCTTTACAATAACATAAATAAAGTATCGTGATGAAATCACTTTACTTACAGCTAAAATCGATAAGAAGTTTTTTACAGTAATAAATTCATATATTATAAAAATACAAAAAAACAAATAGTATGCTCACAAATGTAGCCAATTCATTTAATTTATTTTTTTATATTTTATTCACAAAGTCAATACAAATAATAAAACTGATGAACTGTGTAATTATGACAATTTATTTAAAGTTAACCTTTTCGTTCGTTTATTTCGTTTAATATCGATACTTAATATTCCATTTGGAATAAACATACAATAATTATTAGGCTTATTAAATGAACTGGAAAACTATAATAACTCATAAATTCTCTAATGAAAATAGATTGTAAAATGAAACAATTAATACTACTTTCAATAGTACAAACTAATTTATTAGTACATAATCAGTTTTCCAAATGATCTATACTACGTATTATCCATTCTATACTTTAATTCAGCCTCTAAATGCTCTATGCTTTCATTCAGTCTCCAAACGTTACTACCCTTTCATACAGTCTCCAAATGATCTATACTTTCATTCATAGTTCAAAGTTAAATTTTGACAGCATGACTCTTGGAAAATTCTTCCAATTCATTTGAAACCGGTAATTCCGTTTCGACAAAATCATCACCTGACGCCTGTTAATACAACTATAAATTATTACAATAAATTAACGAAATTTGTATAAAAAATAATAATAATTACGCATAATAAAGCCCAATGACGATAAAGCGTATCATTAAGAACGAAATGAAGATCATCTGGTAGCAAAACACAACCATCAGGATGAAAGTCACAATGATCTTCATATAATGATTTAAGAATAGAAAGAGATCTTTCGTAGCAAGATTTAAAACTTTCAGGTTCATTCTATTTTCAACAAAAAAAAAAAAAAAATTGTATTATTTTTATCGTTTTCAGATGAATTGTTAATGTTAACGAAGTATTACCACATCTTCTTGGATCTCTTTTTGCTCTTTTTGCTCATCGTTTCCTTTCCAATGATCTTAATCAATTAGATTATAGTGTAATAAATAAAAGAATAATGATATGAAAATTAAGGAACCTTACCTTTGTGAGATACCGTAAAAATTTGCGGGTAGTAATCTAAAATTTTTTAAAATGTATGGTTTAAATCCAACTAACAGTTAAAGAATTTTATAAAAAAATGTACCTATTTGAGCTGAAGAAACATCCACAACATCTTGCGTAGAAATTAGAGAAATCACAGATTCTTCTGTAATTGGTATTTGAGAAATCACAGGTTCTTCTGTAATTGGTATTTGAGAAGTGTCGCTGTTAGTAGATGACATGGTGTAAGAAACCTCAGATCTTTCGTCTATAAAATTGAGAGAATTTATAAGTTATCGATATAAAATTAAAAATTATAAAATTAAAAATTATAAAATTATAAAATTATAAAATTAAATTATATTCAAAAAATTATATTAAAAAAAAATACTTACCCAAAGATTTTTGAGTTGGGAACATGTTTATAAAGTTACAATCGGGTATATATTTAATAACGTAAGGTATATCAACACAAGGAAATTGTATCTGCGGAATCGGAAATGGAAATGGAGCAATACTGGTAACACTTGCAGGATCAAAAATCGGAATAATTCCTTGATCATTTGAAGATGATTTCACATGGTTATAAACACTGTTTGATCTTGTTAAACGTCTCTTTTTTCTATTATCACTCAAAGGCATTGGAGAAGGAGAAGGAGAAGGAGATGAAGAAGATCCACTACTAGAAGCTGTATCTTTCTCTTTCGTTCTTTCAATATTAGAGCTAGTCTCATCAACTTTTTTTTTTATATTATCATCTTTCATCTTATCTTCCCGAATTTGATCCATTAAATCTTTAACATCTTTATGAAATTTTACATCGGTCCAATTTTGAATATTTAAAACATTTTTTTGATATTTGCTAAGGGCGTTAATATTCCAATCCAAACTTTTTACATTATTAGTTAACATCTTGACCCGTAAATAATTACATAAATTCATCACAGATATCGGAAAATATGAACCATCATTATTTTTCCATTCTCTGAATTTAGCAAGACATAAGTAACCTCGTGCGACATATTCAGAGTAATCTTTTGATTTTTTAGATGGTTTATCTAAAATGGAATCAGATAAATTGATAGACCGTTTATTTAATTTTCTTGAGTTAAAATTTGGTGGAGGAGAATTCAAAGGGGTAGTTGATGAACTGGTTGGGAGACACAGAGGCATTGAATTAAAGTCTTCTATCATAGATTCTTCATCTTCCGTTACAATTTGATCGATAGAAGGAGATGGGGAATCAATATAAATGATATTATCATTTCCAAATGAATTCATTGTATTCATTGTCAGGGGTT